GCAGAAAGTACGTAGGAACTGGGAGAAGACCACGCAAGACGGCCACCCAGGAGATCCTCGCAGTCCTTCCGACGCTTCCTAAACCCTGACTCCTGCAACCCCGCTAGGAGGAAAAGCGTCCCGGGCGCCTGGGGAACCAGAGCGCACTCTCCGGCGCGCCCCGCCAGGAAAGAACTTGCGAGGGTCCCCGACCCGCCCAGAGGAAGATTCTGGATGAGGTTTCCTGGGGCCTGGCAACTCATTGAATTCCCTAAAAGATGCTTTCTTCTCTCCCCTAACTGTGAGTTCCTGTCACCTTTTCAGCCAGACTCTTAGAAACTAAATCTCCCTTGAATTTCTGTCCACCTGCCTAAGGTCCTTCCCTCCACGACTCCTTTTCATCCCCCACCGCTTTCTCGCTCAGTATCTCTCTCCTCTCTCTCCCTCTCTCCCTCTCGCCCTTCTTTCTCTTTACTCCAAAAAAGATCTATATCAATTCCTTGTACCCATAAAGATCAACAAAATTCCCAAAATTGAATCTCAAAAAAAAAATTTTTTTAATGTATTGACTGTTGTCACCATTTCACAAATAAGGCGGCTTCAGGGTAACTGGTCTGAACATACATGTTAGCAAGAGGCAGTCCCAGAAAATCTTCTCCAACTGCCCGAAGTTCATCATCTGTACTTTCTTGCATAAATTCCTAAAGATGTCCACATTCCATGCCTCCCATCCCTGTGTCTAGGGAAATTTCCTAAAATTATTACCCCCAATAGCGTCACCCAAACTCTGTGAGGGTCAGTTACCAAATATGTAAACCAAGGAGTGAGGGCACCAGCTGGCACAGTCCTATCGGATCAGAGCGGGTTTGTCTTCATCTTTGGTGCAGGAGGTATTCAATCTGGCATCTGATACAAGTATGATTCCTGCTACCCCAAACTTGTAGCCAAACAGAGCAACGATTCTCAAATTCCAAGAAATCGAGTGCCTGGATATCACAATATGATATGATTAAATCCATTCTCATATTTTTACTAGCAAAAAACACCATCTTATCTGAATGCAGCTTCTTACAGTTCAAAACTAATATGTTGTAGCATCTGTGACAAAATAGTAGCTGTGGGTAAATCTAGGCATTCCAGTGCTTGCTCTCTAAGTTCAAAATTTTCAAAATACAAAAAAAAATTTAGAAAGAAGTTAGAAAAAATTAATTCATAATAATTTACAAGGTTTCTCATTTCCATTAATATGGCTTATTTGTAAGTTGTGTGTCATGTGATAACTGAAATTTGAATTGAAGCAGGTGTGGAGGGAGAGGAGGTGCTGCAGCAGACCTGAGCTAGTTCACGTCCCACCGCAGGACCCCACACATGTTGTCCAGATAACATCAAACAGGCATTTCTTCTTTGCATTCTGATGAAAAATGTGTTTCACCTTATACTTTTTTAACTTCTTTCCAGAAAGAATGTAAATGATCCCTAGCCACGGTTGCAGCCATTTAAGAAACTATTGATTATTCAGATTAAAATTCATTATTAAGAAAAGATAGTGTCTGACTTTTGCTTGCTCTGTGCCCTCACCACCAGCAGCACACACACACACACACACACACACACACACACCAGAGTGCATTTCACAGTTACACAAGTGAGAGAAAGGCTGGCTGAGTCACCTGACATGATAAATGGGGAGCATGACTAGTGGGTGAGACTGGTAACATCTCTCTTTGTTCTACTCCCCAGAAGCATCCTGTCCCGCTTGACCTACCAGTAAACTGTAGTCAGCCAGTGAGGCTGTGGCTGTGACTATATTGCACATTTAACAAGAGTCAGCTGCTAAGTGTTTTCATAGATTATTACTGACTTCATGCTCACAATAACCTGTGAGGTCATTACTGTCATCCATATTTTAGAATGGATTTAGAAACTGAGGCTCAAGTCCAAGAACTTCCCCCATGACACCTGGTTTTTAAAGGCAGAGGCAGTTGGGGGAATCTGACCCCAGACCGCTCTACTCTGCCTCAGTAACAGACAGGAGCTGAGATTCGCCTGTCCTCTTACACTGAGATGCTGTCTGCCTCTTCCACTGAATATGAATTGCTTCTTGGAGTTGTGACTCAGCTGGCAGTCTTATCTTTCCAGACCAGTCAGTTAATAAGACGTTCCAAACTGGTGTCTCACAACCATGAAAATTCAAAGAAGAAGGTGCAAAAAGAAATTAAGCAGCCTGGTGGGAGGTGATAGGAAGAGTGGAGAGTAGAACCCAGATCACTCTTATTGCTAGTGTGACCGTCAAACTTGACAGGGTCTCTGACACTCTGGCTTGTTTGTAATATTAATGACTATTTACTGGGTTCCAACCCTTATTTCTTTTGAATTCATCATTTTGCAGGCAAACTTGAGAAGTCCAAAGTCACAGGGACATAGTAGTGGAACTGAGGCTCAGAACCTGGTCTGACTCCCTGCAATCCCCTGTTCTCTGTTCAAAGAGGAGCTAACTCACCTTGCAAGGTGATTGTGATCACATCTCTCTGCAGATGAGCTCACTTAATAAAACACTGCTATTCTGTGTGCCTATTATTACTACTTATTTTTTAATAAGTTTTCTTAATAGACTGTAAAATTTGATCGTAACCAGAGGTGGTGTAACTGTGTGACACTGACATTCTCAAGCTCTGTAGGTTCAACTACTATAGATGCTGCAACCTTTTTTTTCAGTGGCCTAACACAGCCTCTTAAAGTTGCAACAAAGAAAACTGACTTAGCCATTAACATTCTAGGAATATTTATTTTTTAGGTTACCCAACACCAAAGTGTAGGTATGTAGAGGCATAATTATTATGGCCTTGTTCATAGTAGGAAAAAACTAGATACAATCAAGGTGGGGAGCCCTAAGGGACCAGTTCCACACAGGATAATGCCCACCTACAAAGGAATATAATATAGCCCTCAAAAAGAAGAGACTACATCTATATGTGTTGCTGGGTAGACTTCCAAGGTGTTTTATTAAAGAGAAATATAAGTTCCTAACAGCATCATACTATAATGAAATCTGTGTTAAATTTGATTAAACCAAAAGAGGATTAAACTATTACTAGATATTGTATAATCAATTAAAGGTTAACAGTAATTCTGGAAATTGGGATGGGACATAAAATTTTTCCTTTCATGACCTTTTATAGTGTTGCACATTTGACAGAAAATGTTACTAGTGTGAATCTGTTGTTTGGATCTTTTTAGTATGAACTTGTGTTTTTAATTAACTAGAAACAACAAAACTTGATTATCCATTTCTTCAACTAATCATTCTTAGCAATACGTAATACATTAGCAGGTTGTTAGATTTTTAAAGAAACAGTTCACCTGGAAAAATGAAGGAGAAACACACTGACCATGTATTTCCAGATAGCCCATATAGATGTAGCCTCTTCTTTTTAACGATTATATTCTATTCCTTTGTAGGTGGGCATCATCCTGTGTGGACCTGACCTCCCAGGGCTCCCCACCTTGGTTGTATCTAGCTTTTCCAACAACTTCAATAAAGACAGTTAAATCACTGACTTATTAAGTTGCCTGCAATTACACTGGTTCGGTTCTAATCCACTAGTTTGACAATTATGGGTAAATATTAAGCATCCTATGAATAGAATGTAGTACAAATTATCTGGGTTTTAATAATATCTTTACCATCTCTTTGTTGCTTACTTTATTTTTTTAATTAATTTTTATCAAAGTAACACCATATTATATAACTTGTACATTTCAGGTATACCTCACTGAAAAACAGCACACCTACCATATTAAGTGCACCACTAAAATTAGACTCTATCCTATACTATCTCTTTGTCCCTCACCCTGATTTATCATCCCGTCCCCTTGGCAATTTACCCTTTATGACTGTTACTTTGTGCCAGCCTGTCTTGAGCACATATTTCTCATTTAATCCTCATAACCACCTCATTAGTGCTTGTTTT